ATATTAGCCATTGTTAGTATTCGGTGCAAAATTTAGTCCATGTCTTCTCACGTTAGTTAAGCGATTATAAAATTTGGGCAGGAGTACAACTAAACGTTTTCTTTGTTGTTTGTTTGGATTCAATCATCTCTATTAAGGTATGAGCTCAGTGGTCACATACTTGATCACTCTGTCTCCATTCATATATGACCTGAACTGTTTATTGTCTGTTGTGTTCTTAAGGTGCTCACAATCTATCTGCAGAGAATCAAATTTCTCAAACTTCATTCTACCACCTGCTCTAATGTTTTTACCACTGTCAGGAAATTCTCTTAGTCTCCATGGACGTGGAAATGGATACTAGGTAGGAAATAAAATCCCTTTATCCATTATCAGGGGCATTTCCTACAAGGTCAATAATCCATAGTCCATCTTATGCCCTACACTTGAAATTATTTTGACCATTTCTCTTGAGATCTTTGCCAGTTTTCTTTCTAAAAAATATGCTCTTTAAGTGCACATAAAATACCACGAGGAACACTTTTTTCCTCTCTCTTTGGATATTTCTGAGTCGATCAATTTTCTCTCGCTTTTATTAGCCTTAAAAATGAACCAACAACATCTATTTGAGCATTTAATTAAGGCATTTTAATTAATTTGAGCATTTTAATTATAGTCACAATGCTTCAGGAAGCTTTGACCAGGAACAGGATTGCAGAAATAGAAAGTAAACCAACACCTGTCGGCAAACGGTAGGAATGGGATCTTCATCACTGCTGTGTATACTAGGAGGTCTCTGCTTTTCTTTGTGTTTTAGTTGTTTATTCAATAATCCATGGGCATATCAGAAGCTAAGTCATTAAGACTGCTTAACTCCAACAAGGGAGAAAATTTTAGAATCTTTAGCACTGGAGGTATTTAAAAGAAAGAGAAGTAACACATTTTATGCATAAAGTAAGGTTGATCAAATGGTGCAGATACCGTAGAACACAGTTTGGTGGTTTCTCAACAAGTCAAACACGGAATTACCGTATGATTCAACAGTCTTACCCCTAGGTATATTCCCCAAAGAAATGAGAACAGATATTCAAACAAATACTTATATCCGAATGTGCATAGCAGCACAAGATGTGGTGTAGCCATGCAATGGAATATTATTCAGTCGTAGCAAAGAATGAAGTACTCACAGGCTTGGACGTGAATGAGCTTTGGAAACATTATGCCAAGAGAAAGAAGCCAGATGTGAAAGACTACATATTGTATGGTTGTATTTGTTTGAAATGTTCAAAACAGGTAGATACACAGACAGAAAGGAGATTGGTAGCTGCCAGGGCCTAGAGGGGAGAGTGACTGCTAGTTTGTGTGGGGTGCTACTTTGTGGGGCTGATGATGAAAATGTTCTGGAATTAGATATTGGTAATCGTTGTGCAACACTGCGAAAATACTAAAAGTCACTCAAATGTACACTTCACATGGGTGAAGTTTGTGGTACGCGAATTACATCTTAATAAAACCATTATTTAAAAGAGTAAGTTTAGGGGCGCCTGGGTGGCACAGTCGGTTAAGTGTCCAGCTCTTGATTTTGGCTCAGGTCATGATCTCACAGTTCCTGACTTCGAGCCCCGTATTGCTGACAGTGCAGAGACTGCTTGGGATTCTCTCTCTGCTCCTCCCCCACTCATGCGTGCATGTGCTCTCACTCTCTCAAAGTAAATAAATAAACTTTAAAAAAAAGAGAGAGAAAATTAAAAAGTAAGTTTGAACTGCATTTATGTGAACCCTGGCAAGAAACGACTGCTATATATTGTCCTGGTCAGCTCTTCATGAGTGAGTGTACTGGGTAAATTGCTGGGTATCACAACTTAAGAAGAAAGTAAAAACAAACAAAAAAGTCAATGGCCTAGCAGGGGTTCTGTGGAAGGTAATAAGGAATGGGAAAACAAAGCCCTATGGAGAAAAGTTAGAGGAGTTTTGGGTTATTCTAGAGAAGCAAAGGCTTTAGGATAGTATCCTCGAGAGAACATGAGGTTCAAGTATGCACTGGCCAAGGTCCCAGCAGGAATCACATATCACACTCAAGTGTTTGCGCAGACAGTCAGATGAAGGCACTATTTACAGCTGCACAACGAGGAGCTGGGTTAAGGGAATCCGTCAGGGACGCCGATCCACTCAGGGACTGACAACACTGAGAAGGCTTCTGGGTTTGCAGGGGCAAAGGGAGGGAATGGCGATACGGAAGACCAGAGGGCTTGGGGATGTGGAGGAGGGCAACTGGATAGGAGCTGCCATCTTCTAGTTGCTGCCAGAATTGCAATGAGGCAGGGAGAAGGGTAAATACCCTCGCCTCCTTCTTCCATTCTGCGGTCTCCAGATGGTACCACCTATTGACCAAATGGGAAGCTAGAGAGCAAAGGAGCCCAGGCAATGCGGTCCATAGAAGCCAGATTCTCATAGCACAGAGAAGGGCAGGGAAGAGATGGTGTGCGTGTGTGTGGCAAGGAGGGAAACTGGAGAGTAACTGAGTGCTTGCCTGCTATATACCCAGTTCCCTACTTAGAGAAGCCGAGACAACAAGTACCTGCGTCGGCCCCATGCTTTATACCTTGCGATCCCAATACCCTGGCCACAGCAGAACTGAAAAGCCAATACCAGAGCAGAATATTTGTTGAGTGCTTACCATGTGTGAAGCATTTTACGTTACTTATCTCATTTAATCCTCATATTATTATAACCTGTGAGTAGCAGTCACCTTATGATACTCATTTGATAGATGGAGAAACTCTGGCACCTGGAGATTAACTAATGGACCCAATGTTTCATAGCTAGTAAGTAGAGAACTGATGACTTGAACCCAGGGAAGGAGTCTGGCTCCAGACTTGTTCTCTTAATCACTACACTCACTGAAATAAGAATTAAGCAGGACTCCATAGCTGGCCAGCAATCGTGATGGTAGTTAGCCTAACGGTAGAGGTCTGCTTAGGGTGTTTGTTGTATGGTGACTGGCCGACACAATCTGATATTGTTTGTAAGAGGAGTCTGAATGCAAGATACAGAGCAAGTCAGTAGACGTGGAGTTTGAAGAGCTGAAAGAAAGGGAGGGTAGTTAATATGGCAGGAGAAGTGATGAGCTCAGGCATCAGTATAGCCGAGTCACCAAGGAGGGAGGCAGTGGCCTCTTGCTACAGAGAGGGACAACTGGAGCTGTCTGACAAAACAGATGCTGGCTTTCTAGAACTACGATGTATCTTCAGCAAGGCTGCAGTTTGCTAGTGCTTTTTCTTGTTCTCTCTTACTTTCCCACGTCTTTACAGGAACTGCCCGCTGAGGAAATCTGAACCACTCTATGTTTCTTGCATTCTAATACGGTCCAACAGAGGGGAGTTAATTATTTAAGTATATAAGGGTCTCTTGGGCAAGGATTCCCCTCACCCCCGCTATTAGTTTTCCTCTGGAAAGAAAGGGAGGAAATTGATACACTATAGTCTAAAAGATGTATGGGAGTGGTTCTACGATAGACCCTTCCAAGGGAGGATATGAAAAGATCTCCTCTGGAGAACTTTACAAATAGTCTTCTCATCTGTCCAAGGGTGGTTTCCATGAGCTATTGCCTGAAGACACAAGAATCAATGGCTCCCGACTGTGACTCCACAGACCTGTGTCAGGTTCCTTTAGGAAGTTTTCACTGTCTTCCTCAAAGTGAAAAATAAAGACATTGCTGTCTGTCTGTCTATCTCTCTCTCTCATCCCGAGCATCAGTATTAGACTGCTGTCATTTTTAAAGATAGAATATTCCCTTTCTTGATGTTAAGATATCCCTCTCCTTTATGAAATTATGGTAGTGGTAGGTAGATTGTAGTGGCTTCTTTTCTTTCTTTTTTTTAAAAAAAAATTTTTTTTTCCAACGTTTATTTATTTTTGGGACAGAGAGAGACAGAGCATGAACGGGGGAGGGGCAGAGAGAGAGGGAGACACAGAATTGGAAACAGGCTCCAGGCTCTGAGCCATCAGCCCAGAGCCTGACGCGGGGCTCGAACTCACGGACCGCGAGATCGTGACCTGGCTGAAGTCGGATGCTTAACCGACTGCGCCACCCAGGAGCCCCTTTTCTTTCTTTTTAAAAATATTCTTACTTGGCAAAATAAGAAGTTGGCAAATCTGTTTCAGTCTAATTTTTTCAAATGCTGTTCGTCCGACGGGTGCCTGGGTGGCTCAGTTGGTTAAGCGTCTGACTTCGGCTCAGGTTATGATCTCACAGTTCTTGAGTTTGAGCCCTGTGTCAGGCTCTGTGCTGACAGTTCAGAGCCTAGAGCCTGCTTCACGTTCTGTGTCTCCCTCTCTCTCTCTGCCCCTCCACTGCTCATGCTCTCTCTCTCTCTCTCTCTTTCTCATAAATAAATAAGCATTAAAAGAAAATGTCGTTTGTCCGAGAATTAAGTAGCTGAAAACCATAGGCTCAGAGGACCTCTTAAAGTCCCTACAAAATTCTAGGTTTTAAAGCCCTGAAATAGAAAATCAAAAGGACTAGGAAGGTAAGATGATTTTTTTTTAAAATGTAACCTACTGAAGTAACAAGTTAATGGAGTCTAACTATCTTAGACATAAGAGACAATAAGTGGAGATGCCTAGAAGTTAAAATTTTTGTAGTTTCTAAGTGGAAATGACAGTCTAAATGTCAGATCCAAAAACATGGCCTAAAGAACGCCACACCAAAGGTCACAGTTAGAAGGCAATATTCAGCTCTGGAGACAGTTACAAGTCAGATAGTGTGTGATTCCACGGGTACATAAGCCATCAGGAAAGGAGAACTGAACTAGTTTTGAAGGAAAAATGTGTCAAAAGGGAACTCTAAATAGGCCCAAAGAGAGGGTTTGAGTGAAAAAAAAATGCTTTAGATCCTTTAAATAAAAGACAGTCGTCATTTGTCCATACATAATTATTCCACATGTAAATTAATATGCAACTAGTATTTTCGGTGTTGTGCAACGCAATGCTGCTATTCATACAGAATTAGTTCAACATACCCAAAGCCTCTGCCAGGCCCCAAACCTTCTGTCCGTAGATGTCGGTCTTGTTCCAGGCAAACGTGTAGATGAGATTAACTGCGGCAGGAAACCACTTCTGTGTGAGTCGCCCTTCCACGGCTACCGTGAGATGGACTTTTATCATTCCCACGGGAATGGTTGAATGTGTCAGAAGGATCCGAAGCAGGGTTTTATAGCCGGGGGTGCGGCTGCTCAGGTAACTCAGCCTCACAAAGCTGGAAGGAATGGGGATCTCCTCTTGCACCACCTGAGAGAAAAAAAGGCAGATTGGCTCCTGTCAGTGGTCACAGGTAGACAAGGATGATTTCTTCTCTCGGAAACACGCCAAAGGAGAGAGTTTAAAGGGATCTGTGGATGTCAGGGCAAGAATCTGTGAGGCCGTGTGACCACGGGTTTCGAATTTTGCACTGAGTCTGCCTGGGGACAAGACATCCAAGCAACCCTGACGACTGCTCTCCTTTTTTTCCCTGCCAGGAACGACTGTGATAAGAACAATTTTGGTTTTTCCACAGTGTTCCAAAAATTGCTTAGAAGGAGTTGGAAAAGATCACACTGCTGAATGTCAAGCATTTCAGTGCTGTGGGCTCCATTAAGGGGTCTTTTTCTTATATATATACACACACAAAATCTTGTTTGGTGTGTTAAGTCATATATCACATAACCACTGCTGTAATCCTTATTCAGGCCGGGCTCTCTAGGAGGAAGGACTCCAGAAACAGGCTCAGCAAAGTGATATTTTATGACAGAGATTATGGTTTCCCCAGAATTAATCTTTACTGATGCCATCAAACTTGTCTTCTTTGGACCTTTGGAATGACCTTGAGGGCCAAATTTTTAATCAAATTTCGCTTACATATTTTTCTGTGCTTGGATATACCAAGAGCTGGGAACAAGTTTTTCCAAGTTGGCACCTGTGACTGAGAACCAAATAACTCCCATTACTCCTGTGCAAATTTTATACTAAACATTGGTCCCAGAATGAAAATAGCACTTGGCTTCTTTCATTAATTGCTATTACTTATTTGTTTATCAGCACAGATGGAGTTAAACAACCAAAAGTGGTCACTAAAACTCAATCTGGTGTTCTATGACTTTCAACTTTCAAAACCCAGCTGAAGAAAGAGCCTATTCGATACACTTAAGGTGACAAGAATTGTGTGGATATTCCTGTGCCCTCATTCATGTTTAGCTCAGAACCTCGTCCCTTTTTCCTTTTCTAAACCAGTGCACATAGTAGACCTGGTTGTTAAACACATGGTATCTCACATTGTCCAGGATTTCTGCTCATTCTTCTGAGAACACAAATCCCTTTTGTCTACCCTTGGCCTGATTTTTCTTCCTCTACATTAGCATTTGATACTAGAGCGGTCTAATGGCTCTGACTTCTCAGATGGTGGCAGAAGTACAATAGTGAAGGCTAGGGTGACACTTACCACCTTAGCATTTCATTTCCCTATGGAAATGTGCAATCGTAGATCAATCTAAAAACTTTGGTGCTGAAAGAGACCCACGCTTCCTAATGACAAGTATACAGAAATTGGTGTACCAGTCCAATGCACTCATTGAATAGAGTCTTGTTGGGGCGCCTGGGTGGTTCAGTCGGTCAAGTGCCTGAATTCACCTCAGGTCATGATCTCGTGGTTCGTGAGTTCGAGCCCCACGTCGTGCTCTCTGCTGTCAGCACAGAGCCTGCTTCAGATCCTCTGTCTCCCTCTCTTTCTGCCCCTCCCCTGCTTGTACTCTCTGTCTCTCTGAAAATAAATAAACTTAAAAAAATTAGAAAAAAAAAGATATGGTGTTGTTTTTGCTTCCTTTCCAAGGGAAAAAAATGGAAAAGACAGGAGGGGCAACTCACTGGACACCTTTTCCTGTACAGCAGTATTTTCTAGGAGCTTTTCACAAGTGGTATCCTCTGGGCACTGCTAATAGCTGCTGGGAATATTGTGATGGAAGAAAAACCAAGTCAACCTTGGAATGTCCATTTACTTCCTCTTGAGTATACTTCTTGAATTCTGGATCTGTATGACTTATGGGTCCATTTTGGGGGCTTCTGGATTTAACTATCATTATAATGTTTCTACAATGTGATGGGAAAACTATACTAGAGATGTTTGAATGGCTTACTATCGAAATGAAAACATGAAATACTCAATAAAGAAAAATTATCAGGTACTATAAAATATAAAGGTACAAGAATATGTCTCCCTCTGGGCTATAAAGCCTGAACACTCAAAAGCAAAGCTTTAAACAAAACCCACAAGCTTGAAAACTACCTTTACCAAACACAGCCAAACAAGAGGAGCTGTCATGACTATTAAGAACAATGGCAATGGATACAAACTGGACAATGGAAGAAAACTAGATTTCTTAAGGAGCTTTAATTTCAGAACCACAAACGGTCCTACCTCATTGATTATACCGTTGTCGCTATTGAGCTATCCAGCTAGCTTTGTTCTTTAGAGCACAGTGTTCATTAGGTCAAGGTTTGGGGTTTAATTCTCACGACAGCTAGTTCACCTTGCTTTGTTCTACAGCCATAGATAGCACCCTGTAGCGCTGGCCAATCACCCTGCAAATGTGTGCCAGAGAGATTCCATTTGAAAGCTTCTCTTGACAAATGGAGGGCAGTTCGTTACAGGGCTGGCCAGAGTACCAGGAAAAGGAATCTAGCCATTATATGTTGCTGACCACCCCACGATACTCTGATTTTATACATTCGAAGGCCGATGTACCCACCTGCAGCTCAGGAACAATAGTTCCCCTCTCTGGACAGGACCCTCCAAATGATGTGAGTGGTGACGGAAGCACAATAGGGTTTGGGCTAATAAAGTTGGAGATGTCGCAGGATGGTGGGTCTGATACAACTCTCTGCATGATAACTTTCTCTACCACAATAAACTGATTCCAAGGCAGCCAGAGTGTCCTCTTCTCAGACAGGAAAGGTGAGCGGTCAAAGATTAAGATGACAGAAATACCTCCAACGGCTACGAGGTCAAAGCTGAGAATGAAAAATATATGACAGTTTCAATCAAATGAACAACCAAAATAAAATTCAAGTTAAAATAATAAGTAATTTTAGTGCACTTTCCTTCCTTTGGGACTCAACTACATCCATTCGTATTTCTATTTTATAAATTCCCTCTACCTAAATGTATGGATGGCTTCTTTTCACTATCTAGGAGATTTCTGAGAAAAAACTCCGTATCACCAGTTGATATTCACCCCAAATTTGTAAACCAATTTTAATACTACCTGAGACAAAATCACTGCATGGATTTCTGCAAAGCCGTGTCTTACATCACTGCTCCCCCTCTGTGCTAGAGATAACAGAAAGATGACCATTTAACATCCAGCAGCATCTTTAATATAATGCATTATTCATCCTCAAGAAAAAAAATCCTATAATGTAACTCAGGAAAAGTAAAGAGCCAAAAGGTTAACGACCTTGTTCAGAGTCACAAACATAGTGTCAGAAATCTGGTGGTGTCTTTTGAGATGGCATTTACGAAACTTGTTCAGTAAAATTTGCTTGAACAATACCATGCCTGAACCCTCCACATCTGGCTACCCACTTCGGCTCCTGATTCTACTCGAACTCTACATTTAGGATTTCTGGTGCTGTCTAGAATGCCTCTTGGTTTCCTTTTGCAAGACAGCCTGTAATGGACCCTATCCATCTCCACTGACAACACCTTCCATATCTCTGACAAAGCAAGACTACCTCTCCTGTAAGCCAATTCTGTCCATCACTTGATGTGGTATCTGACATTACTCTTGCATTGGAGCATAACAGACTCAGATTCCAGTTCATTCTGCACTAGATGATCCTACCTTACTTCTCTTGTAAGTATAATGATATCTTTGAGATAATGTACTTGGAAGCATTTGAAAAGCATAAAATACTCTGTAAAAGTAAGCTAATGATAAATTATTACCATTATATCATAAAAATGGATAAAGGGCAATGAGTTGCTCCTTAATATTCAAAGCAACTTAAAACCACAGTAGAGAGATGTAAGCGATTCCCTGCATTAAAAAAGATCTTTCTGTAAAACATTTTTTCAATGATAGAATGCTCTGATAGGGACTCAGACTTAATTATGGATAGCTTACTACTCCCTTCATATGACATTTATTATATTTATTATAGCATTGCCAATCATGTCTTGTTGCAGAAATCTTCCAGATAAAGATAAACGGACAGTAACAAAGGGTGGCTAATACTGTCTTTTGTATTGTTACTATTTCAGTCGAGTAGCTGTAATACTGAGGCAGTTTCCAAAAAGAGGATTTGAAGAACTACAATAGCTATAGAAAATAATCTAGGTTTGAACTAAAAAAGGAAAACCCAAATGGCTTATGATTTAAGACAGAGAGGCTGAATTCATGATAATACAGAAGCAGTTTAAGGCAAGTACAGTGGGGAAAATCCCACACTACTGGTCAAGAGACCTTTCCTCTAGTTCACATTCTATGTTGATTTACCTCCATGTCCTTGGGCAACTTTGCTTTACCCAAACCTTGGCTCTTGCATCTTTAAAACTAAAGTGCTTATTTATTTGAAAACAAAAACAAACGCAAACACACACACACACAAATAAACATCCAAACAAAAACATGTGTACCTGGGAATTATTCTCTACTTCTAGAAAGATTAAGCAGACAGGGCAGGTTTCTTGTTTTGTAGAAATAATGAGGTTTTGGCTTCATACACACCTGGGTCTGAATCCCAGCTCTGCCATGTTAACTTTGTGTGTATGGACTAGTTATTTAACCTCCATGGATTTCTCTTTCCTCATTAGTAAAATGGGGCTGATATGATCTATCACCCAGCTACTACTGTAAACAAGTGAATAAGGTAAAGACTTAAGGGTCAAGCACACAGCAGAGACTCAACAAATGTTAACTTTCTTCTCAAATCAGATCCATTGCCTTATTACATTTACAGATGTTTTCTCTTCCAGTTCAAATGAACTCTAGGCCAGCTTTTGATTATTCCCATATGTGGATACTGATTTTTCTTAAAGTTTATTTATTTACTTTTGAGAGAGCGGGAAGGGACGGGGGGTGGGGTGCAGTCAGAGGATATGAAGTGGGCTCTGTGCTGACAGCAGAGAGCCAGATGCACGGCTTGATCTCACGAACCACGAGGTCATGACCTTAGCTGAAGTCGGAAGCTTAACCAACTGAGCCACCCAGGTGCACTAGCAGATGCTGATTTTTAAGTTCTTCTGGGGACTTCCCCTAGGCTTCCCGTGATGGTTTATACGTCAAGTTGGGCAACAGTACCCACCTAATCAGACACTAATCTAGGTGTTGCTGTTGAGGTACTTTGTAGATGTGGTTAATATCTACACTTAGTTGACATTATGTAAAAGATATTACCCTTGATAATATGGGAGGGCCTCCTCCAATTAGTTGAAAGACGTTTAGAGCAAAACTGAAGTTTCTCTGAGGAAGAAGGAGTTGTTTCAAGACTGCAGAGATAGCGTCAACTCCTTCCCAAGAGATTTCAGCCTACCAGCCTACCCTACAGGTTTGAACTTGCCTATGCCCACAATCACATAAGCCAATTCCTTGAACTCTCTCTCTCTGATGTATACATTTATATGTATATATGTACACACACACACACACACACACACACACACACACACACACACAGGTTCTTTTTCTCTGGAGAACCCGGACTGATTTTTCTTCTTACCACCTAGCTGGCATATACAGTAAACACTGTCTGATTGGCTCATTAACTGCCATGGAAGTGGAAGGTGGATCTGTGGCCGAAATTCCATCTAAATCATTCCAATGCCAAACAGCACGTTCCCTGAATAATTAATTCTTTGAGATTTCCCCTATCACAAATGATCTCCACTGGCATGGGTCATTAAAAACAAGTCATCAAGGGGTGCCTGGGTGGCTCAGTTGGTTAAGCATCTGACCCTTGATTTTGGCTCAGGTCACGATCTCACGGTTCGTGAGATGGAGCCCCACGTCAGGCTCTGTGCTGACAGCATGGAACCTGCTTGGGATTCTCCCTCTCCCTCTCCCTCTCTCTCTGTGACCCTCCCCTTCAAGTGCTCTCTCAAAATAAATAAACATTAAAAAAAAGAACAGGTTATCAAGTCATATGACAGTATAAAAGACCCAAGGGAGAAAATGTATTTGTTTGGAGACTTCTCAATCTCTAATAAGTCAGGCCAGTCCTAAGCACAGATGGAAGACTTTGGAAGGCTATGTGAAATGCTTATCTCTGCCTTATGGTATCCATAAATCTACAAACTCTTGCCTTCAAGGGAATCAGAGGAAACTCTCTGTTCATTTTCCAAAGTTGTCCAAATAAAGTTCTTGAGACCTTTAATGTGTCTCAAGAATCTTCTAAGAAGTTCAGTGCTTACCTATTTTGCTTGTCACTAGCTGAACTATAAATGAAACGTTCGTTCTCTTTCAAAACCTTACTGAGCACCTATTACATAATCTAGGTTGAAGGTGGCTAATCATAGAAGATAAGAGCCAGATTACTTGAGCTCAAAGTTTGGGCTTGACCCTTGTTAGCTGTGTTAATTTGGATAAGTTTTCTCATCTGCCAACTGGGGAGGATAATAATGCCTCCTCTCTCATAAAGTTGTTGTGAGGATGAAATAGATCAACATTTATGAAAATGCCTGGCACATAGTAGATACTCATTCATATTCATTTTTCCTTTAGAATTACCTTTTTCTTCTATTCTGCTACTTTGGCCTCTCCCAATCTGCATGTCTAATCTCTTCTTACTTTGAGAGGGCTCTGTCTTCCACTCCCAACCTTCCTTCTGCTTTTTATACATCACTTTGGTCCCTTGACCTAGAGTTTTCCTGGTTCTCTAAGGAAAGTTGTCAATTAACTTGTGCAAATGGATGATAATGGGGGTAATTAGTTCTACATCCCACATAACATATTTGCATTTAACAGGGACTTTTAGAGTCAACAGCTTAACCCAAAGCTCTGATACCATTGGTGGGAACTATAGGCAAAGTGGCAGGCAGGTTGGACTGAGATCTGGAGACAGAGGGCGCTTACAGCTTCTTACCTATCACACTCTGACTACTAGGTATTTAAATGCTAATCTCAGCCTTTCTATAATCCTTTTGCTCTCAGGTATAGTTTCCTTATGAGACTCTGCTTTTAAAATGTACTTACTCAGTCTGAGATAGCAACAAGCAGAGACATATAAATGGAAACGCCCATCACACTGTCACTTTATGTCTAAGAGATGACAGTGGGACAGTCTGCTTGGCATTTGGGGCACAGATTTTGAACAGTTACACCCTTTGAGAGCCTGAGGGGAGAGTTATTGCCAGAGGGGACTCTGACTGTATCTGTCATCTACATAAACCTAGTCCTCACAGAGAGCTCAGCAGACCAGGGTCTTGGCATTTTACTTAAAACAAAATCCACAAAAATAACAACAAAAATTGTTCCTCTTTAATGTTTTCAGTAAACTGGAAACAGAAATTTTTAGATTTTTTAGACATTGTTTCTCTTAAGCTCTTTTGTAAATATCAAATAATTCACTGAAACCTTTATACACATGCTAAAAAAAACTAAGGGCCCACGAGTTCTCCAAGAGAACTCAAATGTCTCTGGGGACACGTTCTATTTAAAGAAATAATCCATTTCTCAATTTCTGGCACATGGCTGAACATGTTGGCAAGGGAGAGGCCACTTTTGTGTACCAGTTGCTGGCGAATGAACTACCAAAATTTCATCATTTAATTCAATTGGGAGAAAGGTCCACTTGAATTAGTAGAGAGCTCCAATTATGGATCATTTGAAAGGAAATGTACTTTTTATAGCTTATATGTATATAAGCAATGGGTTTGTGTGTGTGTGTGTGTGTGTGTGTGTGTGTGTGTGTATTCAGACTATCTGTACCCAGAGTAGTTTTGCTGAGCTTGTTCTAATAAATAGATGGCTAGTTAATAATTAGCAACTTAATTTACATGCGAATCATTTATATGATTTACTCAAGTCTTAAAAAGTTTGTTTTTCTTAAGTATGTTAAAACTCTTCCATATCTTCTTTAACCAATCTTTATAAGCATTTTCTTGATAAGCAGTTGAAAAAATAAATCCAGCATAGCCCAGGTTGAACAATTAACAATTCTGAAGTGGTTAGGACTAAGGTTTGATTGTTGGTTCTTGAAATCAGATTCTCACACTGTGATAAAGCTCCAGCCAACATCTCTTTATGTGACTACCAAAGCAGCTTGTTGTGAGCAGTTATTTTAAGGGTAGCCATCTGGAGACTAGGGCACCTCAAGGCCATTATTATGATGTTCCTGTGAGTCCTAAATAGGTACCTTTAAGCTGGACACATGGGCCTATTCTGAACAATACTGTCTGAACAAATGTCTATCTAAACGATAAACAAAAATGTTTTTGTGAGCAAATCCTTTTCTGGGATGAAAAGATTTTACTTAGTGGTCTTGCTTCCCAGGTCTCAGAGAACCTGAGAAGCCCTTAGAGTAGCTTGGTGGTTGATGTTAAAGTTAAATCACTATACTTATATAGACACCATTATATCTTAATGAGGATGAATTCTGTACTTTTGGAAGAAACCTTTTGGACATCTTCATTTCTTTTTTTTTTTAAACTCTTATTTTATTTTTGAGAGAGAGTGCAAGTGAGCAAGGGACAGAGAGAGAGAGAGAGAGAGAGAGAGAGAGAAAGAGCAAGAGAGAAAAGCGGGGCTCACCCGAAGTGGGGCTCAAGCTCACCTGAAGCAGGGCTTGAGCTCACCCGATGTGGGACTTGAACTCACAAACCATGAGATCATGACCTGAGCGAAAGTCAGATGCTTAACTGACTGAGCCACCCAGGTGCCCCTGGACATCTTCGTTTCTGAAATATTTTGAGGCTGCCATGGGAGAATAGGCTAAGTGTTCCATGGCTCCCTCTTTATCACCTGCATCATCTCACTGAATTTTGAAGCTGGATTGATTAATGGAATTGGATGAAGGGTAGAAAACTTTTCACATGGCCAAGGTTTCAAGAAGGCTTGAGTGATAGTGCATGGTTAGAAGGGAAATATGGTTTGATTTAGTTGGGGAATAGAGGAAATAAATATCACCAATGACTTTCCCAAATACAGCTCGAAGGAAGATGGGTTTATAAACACTGCATCAGCTGAGCCCTGGTTTGATTCACAGCTAGAAGTCAGTATTTGTCCCCCACAACGATTAGAAGCAATACTGACGTACCTTCCATCTTGCCGGCTGATGGTAAACCCATAATCACTGTGATGCAAGAAACTAACATTCACCCCTACTAGAGGGGTTCCATCTACAGCCACCACTTGGCCTCGAATCACACAAGCACGCCTGCAACACAAGATCAAAGGCAAATATAAAAGCATGTTACAACTAGATTCTAAAAGCCAAGATGGAGAAACTTTGGAAAACACAGCCAAGTAGAACAAAGAAAATAGTAATTTCACCAACCAGTAGTAACTACTAATAACATTTTGAGAATGGCATGTATATCTTTTTTACCCATCAAAATTGGGATTATACTCAGTATAGATTTGTATCCTGATATTTTTAAGTTAACAGTGTATTGTTAACATTGTCCAATATAATCAGAAATTCCTTAATATATCATTTGTTATTATACAATATAGCCTTAAAACAACATATTCTTTAACTTGTTTAATCCATCCTTTATTTTAGGACATTTAGTAGTTTCTTAACTTTTCCTGCATCGAATCTCTTATTATTTTCTTGGGAGATAGTCCCAGTTGTGGAAGAATATTTTTCTCTTATTAAAAATAAAATTGAGGGGCGCCTGGGTGGCGCAGTCGGTTAAGCGTCCGGCTTCAGCCAGGTCACGATCTCGCGGTCCGGGAGTTCGAGCCCCGCGTCAGGCTCT